GGAAGCCTCACTAGACCAGTGAGAAGCCTCATTAGACCAGTGAGAAGCCTCATTAGACCAGTGGGAAGCCTCTTTAGACCAGTGGAAAGCCTCTTTAGACCAGTGGAAAGCCTCTTTAGACCAGTGGGAAGCCCCATTAGACCAGTGGGAAGCCCCATTAGACCAGTGGGAACCCCCATTAGACCAGTGGGAAGCCTCTTTAGACCAGTGGGAAGCCTCTTTAGACCAGTGGGAAGCCTCTTTAGACCAGTGGGAAGCCTATTTAGACCAGTGGGAAGCTTCACTAGACCAGTTGGGAGCCTCATCAGACCAGTGGAGCTGAGCTGCATGGTCTGCAGAGGTCAGCAACTCCAGACCTCCACTTTTCCACTGGTCTTCAGAGCCTTTCTGTGGTGTTTCACACACTAAGCATTGGCTCCTGGTTCCTCGTCAGAAGAACCAGATTCTAGCTGCGCTGTTTGTTTAACCATCCATGAGAACAAAACCATGTTCTGACACATGTAGGAAATCATGGATCCTTCTTCTCATCCATCTGTCTGTCTTTATGTCTGCCAAGTCCCACCTCATGTCATCTCTCCATCAGGGCACCCTCCTCACCAAACCTCGTTGCAAGCCGTTTCCAGACGCCGCCCCAGTGTGTGACTGTGCGGTATGTTCCTGCTCTTCCTCAGGGGTGTCTCACTTCAATCAGGCTTCACCCCTGATTGCCAATCTGCTTGCTGCATCAGTCTTCATCTTTCTCTCCAAATCTCTCCTTCTTTCTTGTCCAGATATTGGATCAGAATCCTTAGTTTGTTGTTCTGCTCCACCTGTGTCAGCGACAAAACGTCATCCTAGATTAGCTCCAACCACGTCCTGACTTCATAGCCTAGAAGTGAATCTAGTGGCCATCTTGTTGCCCTCCAGGTGTGAGGCAGACCTTTCTGTGATTTCCCTTCCTTTCTCCACTCTCAGCAGGCTGGTTGGTTTTGCTGTTGTGGGTGTTTCAGCTCATTGTCTGTGCATCCTTTCCGCCTCTTTGCTGTAAACAGTCCTACTGACTTTCAATTTGTTGGAGAAGTTGGACCAGTGACCGGGGCCAATTTCCGCCTATAATCTGTGTCGTTTGGCTTACGTCGTCCTTCTGCTGCTGTTCTGCTCCTTGATGTGATGAAATGTTTGAATATAGCTTTTAGACGGACTCTCCTCTAATCAAAAAGGAACCTGACCCGATGAGATCAAGCCTGTAACTAATCAGTCAGTCGGCAGGAGGAAGAATCAGACTGATGAATATTATCAGGAGTCTGAGTGGACATGTTCAGGCTCTCTACCATAATCCTCAGATTAGGTGGTCTAAAAATCTGGGATCGAATGTCTGAGGCAGGTGGAAGGTATGTAAGCCTGCCTAAGCCTCCTGTTTTTCTCCCGTTTCCACCATCTTTCTTTGAACCTTTTGCTTTGTTCCTCAGTAGTTCTATCTTCTCTCCATCGTGATCATTCGTGATCTCTCCTCCGCTGATAGGAACATGGACTGCAGCTCTTCAGCTAGCTTTTAGAAGGTATCCAGGCCAGGCCATGGGCTGTAAAAGGTTAACATGAACCCATCCCCTCTGTCCTAAAGGAAACAGCAATCATCATTTCAGACATGATCTAACTTTGTTCTGATCTTCTACGTATTTGATTTGTAGTGAAAGATGAAAGAAGATACAAAAACCTACAATGCAGCGATAGCGTTGATTCCCTCGCTATCATCGCAGCCCCAACCCCTTTACAAGGGAACAGAAGAACTCGCCTGTTCAGCCAGGCCAACAATTCCCTTTAACGACCCCCTTTCAGAGACATAGACAGGTATGGGGCATTGCAGGCTAAGAAAGAAGCCAAACGACCCCCATTCCAAAGGGGTGGACCCGTTCATCTGTTTCTATTTGCATGATCACTAAACAAAAACAGGGCTTTGTTGGGCTGCTATCTGGAAGAAGAAGAAGAAGTCCATTGTTTGCAGATGCGCAGTGCTTGAGCTTCTGGTAAATCTGCTCGTAGCTCTTCTTCAACAGCAGGATTTACCCACAACACCCTCCGGACTGCCGACTGAATTTCAAACATCTTTGATTTTCCACATCTGACGAGTTCTCCTCTGTCTCATCCATTTGCTGTCTTGCAAACTTCGGACGGGCCTGGACATGTTCTGTGGTACCAGCGAGACACGCCTGGCCAATCAGGATGCGGCAGGATGTAAGGATGTAAGATGAGATCTAATAGATGGAGGGAGATCATCAATGGTCTTGTAGGTCTTCTATTTTATTCCAGTCCTTTTCTTCCCACCAACCTGCTTCCTGTTGAAGGTTCTCTCTTCCAAGCTTGGTGCAGGTCTAAGGTTTCCCTCCTGATGTCCTTCAGCAGCTCTTTGGTCTTGGCCATGGTTTAGTTTAGACTTAGATAATGAGTTCCAATGATACAGGTCATGAGTCAACAGACATCTGAATGCTTTGGTAGTGACCAAATACTAATTTTCCACCATAATTTACTAATTTAAAAAAACCCTATAATGTGATTTCCTGGATTTTTTTGTCTCTCATCATTGAAGTGTGCTGATGAAGATTCTCTGTCATCTAGGTCAGAGTCATTCCAAAAAACAACCACTGGGCTTTCAAGTTTGAAGACGTTTCTCTTCCCATCCTGGAAGCTTTCTCAGTTTAAAATGTCTGGATTAGCGTTGAGTTCCAGGTTTATAGAGTAGCCCAACAAAAGCTTTGTGATGGCTTAGGAAACATGCAAATTGAAGCTGGAAAATAGGTCCACACCATAGGAATGGGGAGTCATTGAGGTTGCATTTGGCCTGCAAAACAGGCAAGATGTCTTTGTCCTATGCATGGCAATGAGGATTGAGATGATAGAGGGAAGGAATCAATTCTATTAGTACTGTGAGGAATGCTCTGATCTTTATATTGGAGAAACCAAACAACCTCTCCACAGACGCATGGCCCAACACAGGAGAGCGCCCTCCTCTGGACAAGACTCTGCGCTACATCTACACCTGATGGACAAAGGACATTCTTTGGAGGACCAGAATGTTCGCATTTTGGACAAAGAAGACAGGTGGTTTGAGAGGGACGTGAAGGAAGCCATCTATGCTAAGAAAACCCAACCTTAAACAGAGGGGGGGTGGACTCAGATTTCAGCTTTCTAAAACTTACAATGCACCTGGAGTTGATCCCTTCCCGCTCTCATACTCCTCGTGGCCATGCAGGGGACCAAAACATCTTACCTGTTTAGCCAGGCCAACACTGACCGTAATGACTCTCCTTTTACAGAGGCATGGGACAGTATCGGGTTTTGCAGGCCTAAAACAACCTCAAAGACTCCGCACTCCTGAGGGGTGGATCTTTTATTGGTGTAATTTGCACGTTTTCTAAGCTACTTTGTTGGGCTGCTCTATAAGCCCGAATCTCAACGCTAATCCGGACATTTTGAATTGAGAAAGCTTTCTGGATAAAAAAGTGAAAGATCTTCAAACTTGGTAAACAAAGTCCAGTGGTCTGTTTTTTTAAACTCATCATTGAATTGAACATATAATGAAATTATAGGACTCTCATCTTTCTAAAAAGGACAACTTGGACAATTAGTGGCTGACTGGATACCTAACTGTACCCCCGTATTGGCTTCCTGTTGGGACAGCAGTCAGACGGCCCCAGGGTCAGTCCAGGCTGAGGAGCGGGTACCACGTCTCTACCAGATGTCCCTTCCACAAACGTACTCGGACCAAAGCTAACAGGTCCATGGACATCTTAGCGCCTCCTCCAACTAATGTCTGATTCTGATGGAAAAGTTTTCCTTCTTCTTCTCTGGAGTCTTCTTTCCAGCAGCCCATGATTGCTGGGAGGAATTCTGAGCTGTAGAATCTATGCATCTAAGGTTAGCAGAAGGTTAGAGTAGGCAAAGGGAACAAAGCTTGATGAAGGCCTGCTATGGCTCTGGAGCAGAGGCTCCTCATCCTGCAGGAGATGAGTACGCCTCTCTGTGATCGCTGCACCTCACAGCCTGTGTTCACCCTTCTGTTGCAGCTGTCCATGCTCTTCACTGAGGAGTGCGATAAGGTTCGGGACCTGATGCACGTCCACTCCTTCAGCTACGACTTCCACCTGCGGGTCGCTCACCAGTACTTGGTCGGGTGCCACATGACGCTTCGACAGGGCTACCAGCTCACAGACTTCCTGGATGACTTCATCTGCCATTACCCGGATATTCCCAAGTTTGGCCGCAATCACGTCTTTCAAGGTGATACTGGTGACCTGTTGGTCAGCAGATGGTGGTAGAGAGCAGGAACTATGGTCTGTCAGGAAAGACCACTGTGATGATGATGATGATGATGATGATGATGATGATGAACCAGAGTAGGCCAACAGTTTGTGATGTTTCTGTAAAGGAAGCTTCTCGGTCTCCACGGCGATGATAACAGCCCACCAGCTCTACAACTACATCATCGACCACGCCAGCACGTACAACATGAAGCCTCTCCGCATGTCCAAGGCCGCAGCCGCTGCTGACAGCAGAAAGGGGATGGCAGACCTGCATGAGTACGCGCTGGTGGCTCTGTGGAACAGGTCAGGACCCGTCCTGCTGCTCACCACGCCGTCCCGCTCCGTCTGTTGGACCTCAGATAACCGTCTCTGTTTTTCCTCTAGTTCTGGCTCCTACAAAGACCTGGAGGGCCTCCACCACCACGACGACTTTGACGTGTCTCTGGTGGTCTGCCATAATGCTGCTCCTTTCGAGGAGCAGTCTGATGGGGAGAGGCATTTGCTGAGGTAACGAGAAGGAACGATCCGACCAGAGAAGCTGTTAGTTTGTTTGATAACGTGTTTATCAGACAGCAGCGAGTTTAAGGTTAATCCAACCATCCAGATCCGGCATCCAAGATGTCTGTGGGTCTACACAGCAGTGACATTTTAAAGTCTGGGTGGTCTCTTAGAACATGGGTGGTCTCTTAGAGAATGGGTGGTCCCTTAGAGCGTGGGTGGTCTCCTAGAGCGTGGGTGGTCTCCTAGAGCGTGGGTGGTCTCCTAGAGCGTGGGTGGTCTCTTAGAGCATGGGTGGTCTCTTAGAGCGTGGGTGGTCTCTTAGAGCATGGGTGGTCTCTTAGAGAATGGGTGGTCCCTTAGAGTGTGGGTGGTCTCCTAGAGCGTGGGTGGTCTCCTAGAGCGTGGGTGGTGTCTTAGAGCATGGGTGGTGTCTCAGAATGTGGGTGGTCTCCCTGCTCATCCGGAGCCAGACCTACCTGTGTGAACCAGTCTTAGCTCAACGTTGGGTTCTCATAGGTAGGTTTATTGTCTCTGCTCGCCCTGCTGATTCATCACCACCTCCACGGTACAGTTTTCTCACTAAGTGGTCACAGTGTTTTGCTTGGACAGTCTGTGGGTGACTTGGTTCCTCTTCATCAGTTACACCTTCCTCCTCAGGCTACGGTTCTACGTCATCATGACCAGTCAGAGGGAGCTGTTCCCCCATCTCACCGCAGACATGCGGCGCTTCAAGAAGCTGCCACAGATCTACCGGGATCCCAACGAGCAGGGCGGTCGCCCCCCCCGGGAACGAGCAGAGAGCAGCAGCTCAAATGGAGAAGGCCAAGACCTCTGGGAGGAGAGGACCTCTGAAGGTGCTGCCATCTCGGCTCCCAGCGACGGCAACGAGTTTTATCCTCTGACAGGAGGACGGCCAGGGACCCAGGGGCTGCTGTACGGCTCCCCTCTGTTCCCTCTGCTCAATAACGAGGTGGCTTCAGCCCGCAAACAGATCCAGGCCAGCGTGGAGCAGGCCATGGGTCACTGCCGCCGAGACAACCTGTGGAGGAGGCTGTTCCATGGAGACCATGTGGCCCTGGACAAGCTGAAGCTGGCCAGGCTGTCCTTCACAGAGCTGGAGGAGCTGCTGCAGGCGGTTCAGAGTCACTCAGTGGGGGACATCGACCCCCAGCTGGTAAGATTACCACACCTGGATGAAACTCCTCCAATGTAAACCTCAGGGCCTCAGCTCCATATGAAATAAACGGGTCTGATCAGTTAATTCTCCACTGACAGAGACTGTCCTGGTTTGTCGTGTTAAAGGAAAATTCCGGTCAGCAAAGAATAATCAGTGGATCATTATTTATCCCTGAAACTAATACGTTTGCGGTGATTTGATGAATTTAGCGTTAATCAGTAAAAAAAAAAAATTTAATTATTTTCGTCACCTTCACTGAGTCTAGGAGCGGCCATCTTTGTCCAAATATAGTAGCCCCTCCCTCCTGCCATCTTCCAGCAGTGACGTCACGGTGCGGTAAGCCTAGCGCCATTCTCCCCGCTTTCCAAGCTAAATCAATGGGAACTAC